CACACACACACACACACACACTTCTGAGGCTTCAAAGATGTAGACTAGGTCATCTAGCTATGTGATAAGAGGCGACTAATTTACGTAACCTATTTGTTGTGGATGCGTCAGATACTATCCCAACGGAGGTTTTACATTTATCAATGAATAATTTTTAGGCAGAAAATCAGAACTTGTTGTTCAAAGCTTTTAACTCATAGGTTTGCCCTGATGTTTGGTTTTTTTTTTGTGCCTTATTACATCGTAATATATTTTACGATTCAATTAAGATAAGAGGACACTTATATAAATACAAATGCACCCCGAAAGCAGTTCTTAATTTGTCATATATATATATATATATATATATATATATATATATATATATATATATATATATATATATATATATATATATATATATATAACACTGAATGTACTACTGCTAAATTTACATGAATATGCATGGCAATCACAAATTAAACAATGCTGCATTAGTGCTGTGATGTGATTATGCAATCATACCGATGGCGGGACAGTCTCAACTCGAATATTTTCCATAGTTACCACATCACTGTTTACGTAGAGTATGTTATAAAGGGACATAAATGTACTCATTACTGGCCATGTTGATTATGATGTAACTGTACAGTATATTATTTCAACACCTTCATCGTAAGTAGCAAACAAAAATAGTAAAACAAAAATGGAGGAATATACAATCATTGCAAGCCCTGTAAAGTATGAAATAGCTGGACAGAAATGTATTCATTACTGACCTTGTAGAGTATGTTATACTTGGATAGAAATACACTCATTACTGGCCCTGTACATTATGATATAACAGGTAGAGATGCACTCACTAAGGCCCTATAAAGCATGCTATAGGGCCTTGGGAGTGCATTATATCCATCCGAAAAAACGAGTTCATATTTTTTAATTCAAATGCAGTAACCTTTTTATTATATGCTCATTTTGTTTCATTACCAAAGACCTAATAATAAAATTCACAACCAAATATATTTAATAATAGAACTTATTATTTTATTATTAAAATAAATAAGTTTACAATCTTAGATTCTCCTTTAATACACAATAATAGTATTTATGAGCATATAGCTTTGCCCACCGACCTTTTAACTTTATAGCGTACCGCGCGCAGACTCATTTAAAAAAGAAATCCCACTTTGGTCTATCTGAAATTGAAATTTAAAGTCATATTATGAATGACTGCACCATTGAACAAAGTTCCCAGCGGGTCAGGAATGGGGCGATTTTGTTTTTCTGTCAATCCAGCTAAATTCTGATTATCTCCTTCTGTGTGTTTTCCGCACGATGTACGCGTGACTTCAGAGACTGGCGATGACAACCAGCTGCATAACTGTATCTGTTCTGCCATGGATAGTTTGGAATCGTAAGCTGGACAAATATGAAAGTTTTGAACATAAATTCTTAAGAAGATGCTGGTTTCAACATTGTTTTTTTTTTAGTGAACAACATATTCATCTCTTGCGGAGTTCCGTACAGTCTACTATGGAATGTGATTTCGATTTCAACAATGTATTCTGGAACTACTTATTTTAGTACACAAATGTGTATCAGTATTTATATACCACGTAATTCTTATTAGCAGAAAGAGCCCACAAAGTACAAAGTACATTTGGAGGAGATTAAAGAGGCAAAAAGGCAAGTAGATTTCTTCTTCTTCTTCTTCTTCTTCTTCTTCTTCTTCTTCTTCTTCTTCTTCTTCTTCTTCTTCTTATTATTATTATTATTATTATTATTATTATTATTATTATTATTATTATTATTATTATTATTATTATTATTATTACCAGTTATAGATGTCATATTTTTATGCCCAGTCACTTCAATTATCTTTGTTGGAGGGACCCCAGCTACCGACAGGTTTGTCACGGTAGTCTTCCTTACAGAATTGTTGGTAATTCTTCCCTAGATTTGTGCTTTTTAGGCTGCTAGTTTCATCAGAGTTCCAAGTTAATTAACTCCCATTTGGTCTCGGATAGTACCTGCAATTGTTAATATTTGTACCGTGAATATATTTTATATTTAATTCAATATTTCAATGCACACTACCATAAAAATCTGTTGTTTTTTTAAAAAAAATATTTGGCAATGTTTATTAATGCATTTCATTGTGAAAACGGTTTGGTATATGCAGAATATACAATTTATTACAGATTTTACCCATATTTTTTGCTTTATTTTATATAATTTTATTTTCATTCACTCTTTGCATTGTCTAAAATATTGGTACTACTTTTTTGTTTATATTTTTACTTTAAATAAGGACATTAATTTAATCTTTAGAAATATAATTACCATGTGTGGGAAGTTTCTGTTTTTGCTGCATTGGAATTGGTGTCAAATAAAAGGGGCTGTCGGCATTCATCATTTCCAACAGTCTTCGTTTCAAATATTGCTGGCAAAGTTGAACACGGTCTCGCTCCGGTGCTGTTCCGGTGGAAAAATGCGAGGTATTGTTGATCTATAGTCATACTTCCCCGTACCATCAAAAGTTTTGCTATCCCTCACAGCATATTAAAGATATTGGGTACCAGTGGAATCGATGAAAACTGATACATCTCCAAACTTTAATTTTATGTGCTCGTATCAGCCTCTAAATCCAAACATTTTCCCAAAAGTAGAACATGGAAAATTGCAATGCAGCGGGTGTGTGAGAGCCCCATTTCACCCGCTGAAAATAAAGCTTTTTCGTCATTGTGGCTTGGATGCTCTTGCTTTTCTTCCAAAACCAGTCTTCTTCAGTTGCATTTTTTAAAAATAGAATTTAGTGCTTTGATTGATTTCTGAAATTGACGGTCTCTCAGAGAGACGGGCTACCCTTTCTTTAGCCTTAAGATGCCGTTCTATGCTATTTCTTCTGTGATTCTATGAATTCATTCACATTCTCAACTTTGGCATCACTACTTTCAAATGCTTCAAACAATTGGTTTACTTCATCCACAGACAATCAGAATAAATCTAAAGTACTGGCGTCTGCATCTATTGTTTGTTTATTATAGAAAGTAGTTCTTTATTCACATGCATCAAGTACGTGGGGTTCAATATTAAGGTGTTCAATATCGCTGGATATTGCACGATCCTGACAATGTAAAGTTAACGGAGAAAAAAAGATAGGCATATAATAAATTATAAAAGGACAGAAATGCACATATTACTGGTCACGTAGAATATGTTATAATTGGACAGATAAGCATTCATTACTGGCCACGTAGAGTGTTATAACTCGACAGAAATGCACTAATTACTGGTCACGTAGAGAATGTTATAATGGAACAGAAATGTACTCATTACTGGTCACGTAGAGAATGTTATAACGGAACATAAATGTGCTTATTACTGGCTCTTTAGAGTATGTTATAGCAGGACAGAAATGTACGCATTACTAATCACGCAGAGTGTGTAGTAACTGGACAGAATGAACTCACGCTGGTAACGTCGAGTGCGTTATTAATGGAGAGAAATGTACTTATTACTGGTCACGTACAGTGTGTAATAACTGAACAGAAATGCACTAATTACTGGTCACGTCGAGTGTGTTATAACTGAAGAGAAATGTATTCCATTATCGGTTACGTAGAGTGTGTTATATATTGCCAGAAGTGCACTCATTACTGGCCCTACTTAGCATGTTATAACTAGATAGAAATGCATTCATCATTTGCCCTGTAGAGTATATTTTAACTGGACAGAAATGAGGGAGAAAGACAAACAGAATTAAAAAAAAATGTTTGCAATTTGAAGAAAAGGAAAAGATATACAGGAAAGAGAAATGCAGATGGTATTAAAAAAGGAACAAAGACAATTTGAAGAAAGATAGAGAGACAGATGCAAAAAGAGAAGTATGATAAAGAAATAGAATAATAAAAGAAACAATTACACGTACATATGAAAAAAGAGAAAGACGATAAAGAAATTCAAATTAGAATGAAATAATTGGATCTGGCAGGTGTTAAACTCGATCTCACGTCTCGTGCAAACGTGCAAAGTTAAAATTTGATATATTTTAAGAAACAAATTTAGTTTCCCCCTTTACTGAAAATGAAGTAGAAAAATATTATCTTTTTGATAAAGTTGTTGAGAATTCAAAATGACCAAGAGAGTAATGGACTCAATTATTACAGAGTGTACTTTATAGCAGGGCTAGAAATATCTTTTTTCTCGGTCAGTAGAACAAAGTGCAAATTACGATTTGGTTAAGGAATGAATTTTGAAAGGTTATGCATTAGTTCTGAGGCTTATCGACAAAAGTTCAGAAACTATAGGACAGATGCAAAAACTTATGTTTAGTTTGTTAGAGGAAAAGAACAGTTATTTAAGAGATGGTGCTTAGCCAAGAAAGTCAAACATGATTTTGAAAGTCTTGAACAGTTAGTATTACTTGAAGAGTTCAAGAACTGTGTCCATAGTGACATAAAGAATCGTCTCAAAGAGCATAAGGTTGAAACTTTGGAAAAAATCTGTTGTTGCTGCTGCTGAATATTCCATAAAGTCCCTGTTAGAAGCAAATCACTCACTCAGCAGTCTACTAGTAGAAAGGTAAAACTCAATCTGAAAAAGTTTTAGAAATCAAGCTTCTGACAACTTGATCAAAAAATCCTTGTCTCTACCTACGTGTACCTATTGCAAGAAAAAAAAGGAAACGTCATTTCTGATTGATTCAAATTGAAATATATGCATCAGAATCAAGATAGATCTATCCCAAATGCTCTTATTTCTAAAAGGTCAAGGTCACGGTCATGTATTGAAAACAATACATTTGTTGGGTTTGAGAAACCTCAGTCTGATTATGTCTTGGAGACTTTTGAACGATTAATGTAGAAGGGTTCTATATCATTCTTGCGTAATTTGGCCAATCCTATCCATATTAAAATTTTGAGTGAGACAGGAGCTTCTTAGATTATTTTAGTTTTAGGTATTTTGCCTTCTTCTCAGAAGACTTGTTCTAATGAGAGTGTTTTCATTCAGGGAGTACCGCTCCGGTGGCCCAGTTGTTAGAGCGTACGCCCCGGATGCGAAAGGTCGTGGGTTCGAAACTCGGCCGAGTCATACCAACGACTTAAACAATGGTACTAACAAATGCCTCGCTTGGCGCTTAGCATTATGAGGTTAGCGTTAGAACTGGTTGGCCTGTTGTCATGATAATGTGACTGGGTGGGACATCATGCTACGTCTACGGCATGATGCCCCATTGCTTGACATCACTATAAACTATCACACTGCAAACATCATAGCGATATAACTGAAAAATTGTTAAAGCTATGTTAAAAATATAGATCACAGACACATACTCATTCAGGGAGTAGAGTGCGGCTTTGTTAATGTTCCACTCCATTCTGTTAATTTGTCATCAGAATTAGTTTTGATAAGCAGTGTGTTCCATTAGCTGACACATGCATTGGTCAGGCTTTTGATTAGGTCACTTTCACTTCTATTTTGGATCAGTCAAACGATATTGATCATAGTGATCCTCTTTTGAATGCTCATTCTCTTTTATCTGATCAGGGTGATAAACGACAATCACGTGTCGTTGAACAAGAAAAAGAATCCTGAGATCTTCTGTTTGTTTCAGCGGGCCGTTAGTGAAACTAAAGCTACTGAAGTACCTGTATTTTACTTCATTAAAAATGAAGTTTTTATGAGAAAATGGAGACCTTCCGAGGTACCTGCTAATGACGAATGGTCACTTAAGAATCATATTGTGGTTCCGAAACCTTACAGACAGGAAATACTTAGTTTGGCCCATGAAACTCCTATAGCTGGTCATTTAGGAATAAATAAAACGTATCACAACATCTTGACTCACTTCTATTGGCCAAAAATCAAAAGTGATGTTTGAAAGTTTTGTAGATCTTGTCATACTTTTCCAATTGTAAGAAAGCCTAAACAAAAGGTACCTTAAGCTCGTCTGCAACCAATTTCTGTATTTTACGAATCATTCAGTATAAGTATAGTAGATTGTGTTGATCTCTTACCAAAGACCAAGTCAGGCAACCTAAATTTGCTGACTTTCATATGTGTGTCAGCAAGTTTTCCAGAGCTAATTCTTTTGAGGAATTTTGCTCAATTTGGCTTTCTCAAATTTGATCAATCCGGTCAAAGGTCAAATTTCGAGTCTGATATGTTCCAGCTTATTGCACATTAATTTGACATTCAGCAATTCAAGTCAAAAGTGAAACTATTCTTTCACCAAAGTGTGATAGAGAATTACTGAGTCCTGTAATAAAGTCCATTCTCTCTTGCTCATTCTGCAGAGTTTTCTTCAATCAAGGTTTTATGACCCTAGACCAGAAACTTTCTCATTTACAAAATCAAGAGAAAAGTGAACTTAAACAATTATTCCCTGAATATAAGCACGTGTTTCCAGATGTGACTGCAAGGACGAAAAAACTTTATCACGACGTTGAAATAGTAGATTCGAAACGCATGAAACAACACCCATACAGAATGAATACTTTTAAACGGGAATACATAAAAAAGGTATTCAGTATATACTGGACAATGATTTTATAGAACCCAGTAAGAGTGACTTGAGTTCACCGTGCATTCTTGTTCCAAAACCAGATAAATCTTTCCGAATGTGTACAGATTATAGGAAGGTGAACAGTGTGACAAAAATAGACTAATTTCCTTTGCCAAGAATCGATGACTGAATCGAGAAAATTGGAAATGCCAAATACATCACTAAATTCGACCTTCTGACTGGTTTGTGGCAAATTCCACTAACGGAAAGAGCAAAAGAAATTTCGTCATTTGTGACTCCCGATGGACTCTACCAGTAGAAAGTAATGCCTTTTGGGATGAAGGGTTCTCCAAGTACTTTTCAACGCCTTATGAATATGATTTATTCTGGTCTAGACAATTGTGATGCATATATTGATGATGTCGTCATCTACAACATCACCTGGAAAGAATATCTAGCCAAGATTAGAAATTTCGTTTATAGACTCACGGATGAAAATATAACTTTCAATTTATCTTGAAGTGAGTTTTGCCGTGTTTGTGTTACTTTTCTATGACATATTGTGGGACATATATTAAATCTATAGGTGCTAAGGTCAAGGCTATTTCTGAATTTCCTGTGTCTGTCAATAGAAAACAGCTGATGCGATTTTTGTGTATGGCTGGGTACTATCGCAAAGTTTGTTTTAGTTTTTCTGATATTGTTGAACCTCTAACAAACTTGTTGTGAACGAAAATCGTTTCTTTGGACTGAAAACATGCTGAGGCTTTCGATAGAACTTTTGAACTGCACGTTGAAGGTTGTTTTATACTTATACAACGCTGTTATGCCCTTGTGATCATGTAGCATTTTGCCACATTAGCTTCATTTTGCAGATGAGTGTTATTTATTGATGTTCACAGCTTGTATTGTCTTGGATAGGTCTCAATTTCTGGAATAATTTTATTTTGGTAATTCGTAAGGTACGATCTATATCATATAAAAGCAAGTCCCCATTAATTGCATTATGTGAAAATATTATCAGAAAACAACAGTATGCTTCTTGTACCTGCTAATGAAATTATATGTTGTGTATAAAGTACTATTATAAAAGAAATTGAACACTATCAGTACATCATAGTATTCTATTGAGGGCTTTCATTTTGACAACCTTTTAAAAGTTATAATAGAACCTAATATAACCTAATAAATTGCACATCTGTATGATATAATGTTTAACTTAATTATAAATTTATATTTATTCCTTCCACTTAGTTTCCTTTGGTGCAAAAATTTCTGAGGCAATTAATAGCAAGTGAAGAATGAACGCGTACGAGGTTTTGTCTTCAGAAAATGTATTTATGTAAAGCAGTGTGTGTTAAAGCTGCTGATCTATTAGATTCCAAATAGTAGCACTAGAAGTAGTTTCTGCCATATTTGTCCTCCATTAATCTGCACATCCTTTAGATAAATTAAAAACAGGTATAAATTAGTGTTTACAACGTTCACCAAATATTATTTTCATAATCATCTGACAGCTTATCCGTTTAATATTTATATTACTATTTTGGAAAAGCATACATATGTTCAGTATTTATGTCTGGCATTGTCACATCTTAGTAATACTGAAGTGAGACAACTGTGTTGTTCATGTGCTTAGGTGCTGATAATCTGTACATTTTTCAACATTGATATACAGAATAGTTACCGCATTATAATGCATGATTAGAGATTAAATTCTGTCACTTTGCACCTTCCTTTGCAGCGTTGATAGTCTCGCATTGTTATAACTTAATAGTCTATTAGGAGGAGTATGGTACTGCACTCTCTCTCTCTCTCTCTCTCTCTCTCTCTCTCTCTCTCTCTCTCTCTCTCTATATATATATATATATATATATATATATATATATATATATATATATATAATTACGTAACTACCCAAATATCTCATCATATTTATTAACTTTTTTGGAAATGTATGCCTTATAAAAGCAACACACATGGACACGTAGCCCAGCTTTTCTCCCAGTTTTCGTGTTTCTTTTGTTGATATTAAGAGGGTTTTTTCCATTGACAAAGAGTTTGACTAATTAAGAAAATATTTGTATCTGTGCCGTTGCCAATATATATATATATATATATATATATATATATATATATATATATATATATATATATATATATATATATATATATAGATATATATATATATCCACAGTGACAGAAACCGCGACAGACAGTTAGACAAAGAGGGATGAAGATGTCCTAATTCAACAGAAATTCAGTGATATATTCATAATTTATTTCTTCAAGCGCGTTCTCATCAACGTTATGGTAGGTACATTATACATTCAAGCATTTGGTAAAGAAATGGTCTGACTCATTGATATATCAGGTACATATAAGTTTTACATCTATATCAACACTTTCATACAGAAGCACATTTGCAAGACGGATAAAAATATTATACACCCTTCAAAATAAGTGGCTAAGAAAAGAACCAAATTAAACTGGACATGAATATAAATACTACAGGCCCTGTAGATTATGTTATAACTGGATAGAAGTGTACGCATCACAAGTCTAGTAGAACATGTTTTAAGCGGCAAGAAATGTACTCATTACAGGCTCTCCAGAATATGTTATAACTGGCAAAAAATGTACTCATTACAGGCCTTGCTTAGTATTTTATAACTGGACAGAAATGCAATAACTAGTAACTACTCATCCATCAGACACACACACACACACACACACACACACACATATATATATATATATATATATATATATATATATATATATATATAAAGAATACAAATCATATGGCGAATAACAACCCTCTCAAGCGTACTGGATCCACCAAGGGATTACGTTTGTCAGGGATTAATTAAAATAGATGCAATAAACTGACGACGAACAGTACGTAACTAGTAACTAACTAGCCTAAGCGCTTTCGACTCTTTATGAGTCTTTTTCAAAGGCAAATACAAAACATAGTTACGACAAACAAATAAACACAAAAACGTTGTGTTTGTAAACCTCTACATTTCTATCTTCACATGTGCTAAAACTATAAATACAACCAGCTTGTATAGACTAGTTGCGGAAACTGAAAACGTTGTATAATTCCCTAAAAGTCTACAAGCCGAAGCGACATCTATTTTTACTTTGTGTACATATGTAACGCAGATTATATCCCGGATATTTGATTCTATACCGGTTATTCTTATAATAAAAATTGAAGGATAAGAAGATTTAGAAAATGTTAAATTCTACTAGTGCATAGTTTTCATTTTCTAGTCTTCTTGGTTTAGACCGCTTGGTTTCAATGTTCTAAGGCGGCGTATCCAGTATGATTCCTTTTCCTTCCTGGTTTCGGAACTCCAGCTGTGGTTGTTAGCAATAGCGATAAGTATTATATCACTGAAAGTGTGGCCAGGGGAGGAGAAGTGTTCTGCGACCGGGCTTCTGTACAGCTTTTTTGTCATCCAATCAGATCTATGAAGGTTTATCCTTATGTGTAGCTTTTCAGTTTCTAAATCTTCTTATCCTTCAATTTTTACTATAAGAATAACCGGTATAGAATCAAATATCCGGGATATAA